TCAACCCTTCTCTGTCCTTCTACACCTCTCCCCCATTCTGTATCAAGACTAAATGGTCTCTAATCAGCTTACAAGTCCTGAAGAAATATCACTTACCATAGTCATTAGAGTGTTAGTGCTTTTTTTGTTGGGTCAGTATCTGAATTGGTGCTCTCTCATGAACTTCAGAGAGTTGTGAAGAAAGAAGAAAAGTCTCAAGGGGAAGGAAATAGCATAATGGAGAGGGATGACATTAGCCCGGGAAAACCTGGTTCACTTCTTATGCTTGCTGGACTTCTCTGTGCCTCAGAGAGACAGGAGACAGGAGACAGGAAGAATTCCTTCATTCTCACATCACAGAGTTGTAGTGAGATCAAATAAAGGGTCTTGAAAATGCTCTTAAACACCAACCAAATGGTTAGTCCCTTCATTTCATGACTCAGTGTACTGTTGAGAACCTGTCACTAAAGATGAGATTCCAAAACAGTATTGGAGCTGGGCATGGTGGCTCAACTCTGGAGTCCTAGCACTTTGGAGCCTGAGGCAGGAGGACCACTATGAGTCAGAGGCTAGCCTAGGTCATAGAGTAGAATGCTGACTAAAAAACAAATGGGCTAGATGGCTCCATGATTAAAAGCACTTACTGCTCTTACAGAGGACCTGGGTCAGGTTCCCACATCGACATGGCTACTTACAACCAGTTGCAGGGGATCCAATGCCTTTTTCTGGCCTCTGAGGGAACTGTGTGCATGTATGCACTTACATACATGCAGGCAAAACTCATACACATAAAATAAAAATAATAAATATTTAAAACAAACCTCCACAAAATTACATGGAAAAATAGAAGGAAAATTTAAAGAGTAACCTACATAAGTTTTCATTTTATTTTTTGTTGGAGGGTTGGAGTTCTAGGTAGTTGAATGAATGTTTAAATAAATCTGACAGGGCCTTCAGTCTTGTTTGAGTGCCATTAGAACTCATAAAAATTATTGGAATTCAGGGCTGGAGGGATGGCTCAGCGGTTAAGAACACTTGTTGGTCTTGCAAAAGACCCAAGTTCAAATCCCAGCACCCATATGGCAGCTAACAAGTGTCCGTAACTCCACTTCCACGGGATCCAATGGCCTCTTCTGTCCTCCATGGGTATTGCATGACACGGGTGCACTTATCTACATGCAGGCAATACACTCATACACATAAAATAAAAATAATAAAGTATTTTAAAATAAAAAAATTATTAGCATCCTATTTATGTTATGTGATTATTTTATAATACTCTGTGTTTGGGGGTTAAGTTGATGCACAGAATCTGACCTTAAATAATTGGCACAGTAGGGAAATAAGATGCTTTGAGTGACCTGGAATTAAAAGTGTCGCCCTTTTTCATGGCTGAACTTGTGCTGAGGCTCAGCAATGAGGCCGCTGGCAGTGTGTGGTGCTTCAGCTCAGTTCTTAAGGGCTTTTTTCTGAATGTTTTCAAAATAAACTACTTATTTTAGCACAGTGTTAAACTTGCAGAAAAACCACAAAAAATGGTAGAGAGTTCCTATAAAGCTTATGCCGACTTTCTCATGTGTGTGTGTGTGTGTGTGTGTATGTGTGTGTGTGTGTGTGTGTGTGTGTGTGTGTGTGTGTGTGCTAAAGTGTGTGTCACATGTGAAGGCAGGAAGAGGGGGGATCTCCCTCCACTGCTGTCTACTTTATTCCCTCAAGACAGGATCTCACACTGAGCTGGATGCTCACCATTTTGACAAGGCTGGCTGGCTGGCAAGCATAGTGGATCCACTCAAAAATGGAGTTTGGGTACATGCAGCCATGCCTGATGTGATGGCTAATCTTGGTTGTCAACTTGACTGGATTTGGAATTAACTGAAATGAGAGAGACTCTCTTGATCAGATTATTTTGAGTGATGTGGCATTATTTGAAAATGTGGGCATTTCTTTCTGATGGCAGCCCATATAACAGGCCATGGCAGAAGGGAGCTTTTGATTTTTGCCTGTTTGCCTTCTCTCTCACTGACAGTTTCATCTTGCTGAGGTGTTCCTCACTGATAGTAGAGGCAACTTCTTCAGATTCCAATGTAGACTGAAGACTAGCAGACCTCCAGAAACCCATCAGACCTTCAGGGACTGCTGAGACATCCCTCCTTGTGGACTGAGAAACTACCGGATTCTCAGCCTCTCCAGTGTGGTACAGCCACTTGGACTCTATCCTGTAGGCAAATGTAATAAATCCCCCACATACATATTAATTTTATCAGTTCTGTTTCTTCAGAGAACCCTGACTAATAGTCTATGTTTGGGGGTCAAGTTGATGTGGGTTCTGAGAATTTGAACTCTGGTCCTCGTGCTGCATAGGAAGCACTCTTGCCTACCGAGCCATCTCCACAGCTTTCTTCTATTATTCAAACATCTCATTACTATGGCATACTTGTCACAGTTCAATAGATAATACAGACACATCATTATTACCTAACATCCTCTCCATTCTAGAGTCTATATAGGATATTGCATTTAGTAACCACACCTCTCTAAGCTTTTCTTGGCTATTGTCCATGTTCCTCAGACTTCCTTGATTTTGATAACCTTTCACTTTTGAGAAGTTCCACTCAGGTATTTAATAGAATGCTTCTCGGGACTCATTGGATGTTTTCCTCATGATTAAACTGGGGTCATAAATTTTGAAGAGGAAGACTGTTAGAGGTGCTTTAGTTACTGGAGTTTGGGAATATTCCAGTGCAAAGTCAGATGGTTCTCTGGCATGAGGAAAAACCTCTTGGCTTGAAGCAGCATGGTCCACAGTGTACCACAAGGCTGGAAGAACACTGCAAACACAAAGGGACGCTTCCAGCAGAATCTGTTCTCCCCATACGCTTAACTAGTCCCAGTGTGCCCAAGGTCACCACAGGCCGGTTGACTGTGTTAAATCCTTTCTGAAGACTTTCAGCACGGTCTCCTGTGGGTTTTCTGTGGGAAAATACTTCAAGCTTCTCATGGAATATAATGGGAAAACCATATTCATTTTATAGAAATCGCCTTAGGGTCAATATTACCAAGCTACAGTAGAAACGTGCAACTCCCATGCTGTCCTTCCATATATGTCTGAATAAGAAGATGGATTTATGCTGTGAGGAACACTCCTTTACTAACAGAGTCAAGTCAGTGGACTCTTTCCCACGGCAACCACCTGAGTCTGCGAAGACATGAGGTGCGACAGCAGTACCCGCCTCTAGTTAAGTGGGAACAGGCTGGTGCGCCAGCTTTAGGAGAAACTGTTTTGGATTTGAATATTAAAAAATGGGATGGGTCCAGAAATGCTCCTCCCAAGAATTAGCTACCTTCTTCTATGTTCTAGAAAGGCTATATAATTTATAAAGGAAAAATACTTTCAAAATACAAAAAAAAATAGAAACATG